TTCCGCCCCGTGTCTCCTCACCCCCACCCTGGTCTCCCAGGGGTCCTCTTTTGAGGGCACTCCCATCCCTCGACGGTCCCCGGACGTCCCGCGCGCCTGCCAGGCTTCAGGAAAGCGCCGAGTCGCAAGGGGTGCGGCGCACACGGAGGACCGGAGATCGACCCCTCCACCTCTTCGGCGTCTGCCGGGGAAGTCAGTCCACCAGGTCAGCCCAGAACCCATGACTCCGGGGGCTGGAGCGCCGAGCAGGCCCAAGCGCCGTTCTCCGCCCGCGCCACGGGATGCGCGCTGAGGCCACCCCGCAGCCCTTCCCCCGGTCCTGCCGGCCGCTGCGGGGGGACAACCTCACCCTCCGGTTTCTCGCTCCTCCTCCTGACCCCAGCGCATCCCCCATCCCCGCCCCAGACGCGGCAAGGCTCCCTCCGCCTGCAGCCCGGCGGAGTCGCACTGGGAGCTGCAGCGGTCGCAGTCGCGGGAGCTTCCTGCTCGCGGAGACCCAGACGGCTGCAGGAACCCGGGCAGCCTCGGGGTCGGCGGCACCATGAACGTCTCCGGCGGCGCAGGGGCCGGGAACGCGAACCAACCCGGCGGCGGGGGCGGCTGGCACCCAGAGGCAGTCATCGTGCCCTTGCTCTTCGCGCTCATCTTCCTCGTGGGCACCGTGGGCAACGCGCTGGTGCTGGCGGTGCTGCTGCGCGGCGGCCAAGCGGTCAGCACCACCAACTTGTTCATCCTCAACCTGGGCGTGGCCGACCTGTGTTTCATCTTGTGCTGCGTGCCCTTCCAGGCCACCATCTACACGCTGGACGGTTGGGTGTTCGGCTCGCTGATGTGCAAGGCGGTACACTTCCTCATCTTCCTCACCATGCACGCCAGCAGCTTCACGCTGGCCGCCGTCTCCCTGGACAGGTGAGCCAGCGCTCTGGCGTCCCTGGGGGTTGGGCATCCACGCGGGAGATGGCGAGGGAGGCGGTACCGGGGTATCAAGAAGGGACGTGCAGAGTGGGAGAGGCCATTGAGAAGGTAGTGGAAGGCAAGCGGGCGCGGAGAAGAAAGAGGAATTAGGAGAAGAAAAAGGAATTAGGATGGGGACCGTGTTGTTCCTCGGTTACTTGCGTCCTGGGGCCTCGAAGCCTAGAGAATGTGGCTCTCCGGGGCCGCCTGCGCCTGACAACCCGCAGCATTTCCCTGTACGAAGCGTTCTCGCGCGTTCGCCTGGCTTGAGCCTAACCCTAACCCTGAGTTTAATCCTAACTCTGACCTTAACACCGTGAGGTTGGAATGGGACAAAGTACGTACCCCATGTAGAGAAGAGCTGAGTTCCTAAGCAACTAGCTCAGAGTTGCCAGCCGGGGATCGGGTGTGTGAAGTGACCGTCTGTCTCCTGCAGCCAACCTCGGGCGCCTCCACTGCGGTTGCCTCCAAGCCACAGTTTGGTTGGTTGGTTGGTACAGTCGGCTCAGGTCCAGGCTGTGGACCTTGGGTCCTTTGCGAGGACCCATGCAGAAGTCTGAGCGAGCATGCCTAAAGGTCCCTAACTCAGTCCCAGCCCATTCTGCGACTCCGCTCCAAACAAAACAAAACAAGTCAGAGGCCCGGAGAGGAGCGTGCCCTGGGGTTCTCCCTCCCCAGCCAGAGGAGAGCGAGAGAGGCACATTCGGGAGAGCGTGGGGCTTACGTAGAGCTTGAAAGGACACTAGGATGGTTCCTGGGGAGGAAATCCAGGTATCTTCCCCTCTCCCTCCTCCGGAAAAACAGAGAGGCGAGGCCAGACTTCCCCACACACCTGTAGCTACTGAGCGCGAAGTGCGTTGGTTCCCAGCTCGCTGGTGGGTCCCACAGAGCTCGGATTTTCTCAGGAATCCCCTGAGAAACTAATTGTCCCTTGCCCAGCATGTCTTCTCCAGACTGTCTGCTAGAGCCTCAGGCGCCTGGGCCCTCCCTCCCTGCCTCCTGCGGCACCGTCACTAGTGGATAGTCACAGCCTCCCGGAGTCCACAGCCGGTTCTCCAACCCTTAGTCTTCAGTGGCTTTGGGGTGCCCTCTCGGTGGAGTCGTCGGTGGTTGCAATCCCCGGGGGCAGCGGGAGAATGCTTTGCAGGCGCACCTTTCCTGCTGCCGGCCTGCCGGGTCTCCAGGCTCCGCTGAGTGTCTGGGATGCGCTGGGTCACCCCCACCTCCACCCTCACCCCGAGCCTCACCTCCATCTCCGGGGTGTGCAGTGTAACCATGAGCTAAGGACCTTCCTCGAGAGCAGCCCTGGAGCCCGAGGTGCAGGGGTCGCGGCCCGCCAGCGTGAATGCGCCAGTTCAGCCGATGTGTCCCTTCCCCTCCTGACCGCAGGTATCTGGCCATCCGCTACCCGTTGCACTCCCGCGAGCTGCGCACGCCTCGAAACGCGCTGGCAGCGATCGGGCTCATCTGGGGGCTGTCGCTGCTCTTCTCCGGGCCCTACCTGAGCTACTACCGCCAGTCACAGCTGGCCAACCTGACCGTGTGCCATCCGGCGTGGAGCGCGCCTCGCCGCCGCGCCATGGACCTCTGCACCTTCGTCTTCAGCTACCTGCTTCCGGTGCTGGTTCTCGGCCTGACCTACGCGCGCACCCTGCGCTACCTCTGGCGCGCCGTCGACCCGGTGGCCGCCGGCTCGGGTGCCCGGCGAGCCAAGCGCAAGGTGACGCGCATGATCCTCATCGTGGCCGCGCTCTTCTGCCTCTGCTGGATGCCCCACCACGCGCTCATCCTCTGCGTGTGGTTCGGCAGTTTCCCGCTCACGCGCGCCACTTACGCGCTGCGCATCCTCTCGCACCTGGTCTCCTACGCCAACTCCTGCGTCAACCCCATCGTTTATGCTCTGGTCTCCAAGCACTTCCGCAAAGGCTTCCGCAAGATCTGTGAGGGCCTGTTGGGCCGTGCCCCACGCCGAGCCTCGGGCCGCGTGTGCGCTGCCGCGCCGGGCACCCACAACGGCAGCGTGATGGAGCGCGAGTCCACCGACCTGACGCACGTGAGCGAGGCTGCAGGGCCCCTAAGTCCTTGCCCCGGCGCTTCCCAGCCGTGTACCCTCGAGCCTGGTCCCGGCCGGTCCTGGCAGGGCCCAAAGGCAGGCAACAGCCTCCTGACAGTTGATGTGACCTGAAAGCACTTAGCGGGCACGCTTGGATGTTACAGAGTTGGAGTCATTGTTGGGGGATCGTGGGGAGAGCTTTGCCTGTTAATAAAACGCATAAACCGTTTCACACGCAGTGACAGCGCTACCTAGCGTTTCTCAATGACTTGATACTCCGTGGGAAGCAGCAGCTTCTGGTGCTTCACAGAGGGGCTTCCTAGGGGTGAGTGTAGGACCCTTTGCAGAGCTACCAGGAAGGAGGGCTGAGCACACCTAAGGCAGCTGGGTTGCAATCCGCATAAAAATCCGAGGCTGGGCAGCACAGGACAACCGAAGGCTCTTTGCCTGTGGCCCACCCTGTGACACCAGCTACATATATACACTGCCAAACTGGCCTCCGCCAATGCGTGTGACAGGGGCAGGCAGACTGCTTAAGGCGTTCAATAAAGTCGGTCAATGACAGATGTGTGTTCCCAATCGGATTTGTGCGCTAGTGTGTGACAGGTCCTTCCTTGCCTGCTTCCAGTTCGCAGGGCCCCTTTGAGTCCGGGCAGCCCAGCCAGTCTCCGCCCACTTTTGGTCTTGGCTTTTCCTTCTCTGGCTGCAGCTGACCAGGATCAGGTCGCCATTGGAGACCCGATTTCACCCAGGGGGCCAGCAGAGTCTTTCCTGGCAGGTTGGGCTCCAGGTACACAGCACTGCTGGGCTGGTGCAAGCTGAGAATCTGGTTCAGGACAGGAATGCCCAGGGCTTTGCTCATGAGTTGGCCTTTACCTTTCTTCAAGTAGAACTCCCTTTCCATACTTTTTTGTTGTTGTTGTTTGTTTGTTTGTTTCTGAGATGGAATTTCACTCTTGTTGCCCAGGCTAGAGTGCAATGGCATGATCTCAGCTCACTGTAACATCCGCCTCCTGGGTTCAGGTGATTCTCCTGCCTCAGCCTCCTGCGTAGCTGAGGTTACAGGCATCTGCCACCACAAACGCTAATATGGCTAATTTTTGTATTTTTAGTAGAGACAGGTTTCACCATGTTGACCAGACTGATCTCAAACTCCTGATCTCAGGTGATCCACCTGCCTTAGCCTCCCAAAGTGCTGAAATTACCAGAGTTCTTTTCTCTCTCTCTCTTTTTTTTTTTTTTTTTTTTTTTTTTGGTGTGTGTGGTGGGGGGAGGGCAGAGCCTTGCTCTGTCACTCAGAATGGAGTGCAGTGGTCGGATCTTGGCTCACTGCAACCTCCACTTCCTGGGCTTATGATCCAGCTTTAGCCTCCTGAGTAGCCAGGACTACAGATGCATGCCACCACACCCAGCTAATTTTTGTATTTTTGGTAGAGACAGAGTCTCCCTATGTTACCCTGGTCTTGAACCCCTGGGCTCAAGCAATGCCCCCTCCTTGGTATCCCAAAGTGCTGAGATTACAGGCATGAGCCACCATGTCCAGGGTTCTTGAACCAAGGCTCTTTACATAAAATCAGTTCAGTGTTTAAGAGAGCAGGGAAACTCTTAAGGCTGTCCCCATCTCACAGCATTGAGCACAGAACAGTCCGACCAAGGGTTTGGGTCTTAGGCAGGCTGGTGTCGGTCACTGAAATACAGGGACACCTGTGGGCCCTGATTAGAAGAACAAAGTCAGGGAGCGGTAGAGGTTCCAGGTGGCGGAAATGGAGCGGGAAAGGGACACCAAGGCAGGTGCATGGTGGGCGGGGCTGGGTCCTGGGCTTTGTCTTTGGGCATTTGCGGAACTGAGGCAGGGACTGCCAAGTCCAAGGCCCCAGGGTCTTTGCCCAGAACAGCTGCCTCTGACCAATTGCTCAGCTGCCAGAGAAGTGACTGGAACAGAGGTTGTAGCCCAGGCACCGCTGCTCCCTCCAGTCCCTCCGTGCAGCTGATCATGGCCCTGCAGCTCCTGCTCCGTCTCACCTTCCTGGGGCTCAGCATCACCTCACCCTTGGTCCATGGGGAGGGCTTCCAAGGGCCAGAAGCCAGTAAGTGGAGGGCAAGGTCATAAACTTTGGGATTTGGGCCCTAGGGTACCTGAGTGACCTTGACCTTTATTGCTCAGTCTGGCCATATCTCTTCTTCAACTTCAACTTGCCCCAGAAGGTTCAGAAAGCATCCAGATTCCGAACAATGGGAGTGCACCCCTGCTCGTGGATGTGCAAGTGTTTGTGTCCAATGTGTTTAATGTGGTAAGTGCCGCTAGGCCAAGGGACCTAAGTCCTGAGCTGGGGAGGGAACAGGACTCAGATCTGGATAGTGCTGGGATCTTCTGCCGTGTTCTGTCACACAGTGCCCACCCTGAGGTGATGCACTGCCCTTCTCCCAGGACATCCTGCGGTACACAGTGTCCTCCATGCTGCTGCTTAAGCTGGTGAGCTCCTATCCCTGGGGAGGTATGATGGGAAAGCCCAGCTGAGTCCAGCTCAGAAGTACCAGGCTTCATCAACCTGCTGAGCTTAGGGGGATGGACATGTGGAGAGGATCGTCAGTGGTGCCCTTGTGTCCCCAGTCCTGGCTGGACACTCGCCTGGCCTGGAACAATAGTGCACAGCCGCAGCATGCTGTCACGCTGCCCTGGGACTCTCTCTGGACACCAAGGCTCACCATCCTGGAGGCGTAAGTGACAGTTCCTGCCCCAGGAATCCGCCCTGCAAAGCTCTCCTTTTCCTCATCTATAGCCTAGAGGCCGTCTGAGTGAACAGGCCCCTCCTGGCGGTCCCTGCTAGACTAGCAATGGCACCTCCACTGCCTCAAGTTCCTCTCCTCCTGCCAAAACTCTGATAGCACCCGGGATTGGGGGTGGGATGCCAGGGTCCTCCCCTGCCCCTGTCCAAGGGGCTGGGGCTCTGGCTGTGGTGCCTTTCTCCACAGGCTCTGGGTAGACTGGAGGGACCAGAGCCCACAGGCCCGAGTAGACCAGGACGGCCACGTGAAGCTCAACCTGGCCCTCACCACAGAGACCAACTGCGACTTCGAGCTCCTCCATTTCCCCCGGGACCAGAGCAACTGCAGCCTCAGCTTCTATGCTCTCAGCAACACAGGTGCTGACAGGGCAGGGGCTGCAGGGCTGGGGAGGGGAGGAAGGCTCCCAGGTCTGTGTTTAGAGCAGTCCACCCCAGGCTTGGGGAGGCAGAACCTGCGCTCCCCACTGCGCCCGACTCGAGTGGCAGCCTTAGGGCCCCTCTCTAGGGTCACAGACTCAAACTTGGATTCCCAGCAGCTCCGCAATCCTAGAAGTCTGGGCCGCATCAGTCTTCGGTCCTCCTGGAGCAACTGCCCTCAACAGCCATGGTCTGACTACGGGGGTGGGCCCCTTGCAGCGAGGCCAGAGGCTCTGGTTGCTGCGGCCTGCCTCCTGGGAACAACCTGAAGGTGCAGCCACCTTGTATGAGCCCACTGGGTGACATCTAACCGGGCAGAGAAGTCCTCCCCTTCCCTCCATGAGGAACCACAGCCATAGCCCTGTGGACCCTACTTCAAGTGTGAGATGATAAACAGACGGATGAATCTGACCACTTCTCCCTCCATCATGAAGTGGTGCAAAGTACTTTTATTTTTACAATGAAAGCTCATCTACCAATCTGATAAAGGCCCTCCTTTAACTGGAGACAATTTGGGATGTTGCGAAACAAGGTTTGGGAAGCCCTTCTATGGATCGGCTTTGTCCCCAAGTCTGTCCCTGCCAGAAGCCATCAGAAATCTCCGTCACCCTGGGCTCATGTGCTGCCCCCAGATTTGGCAGCAGGGATCTCTCCCTCCTAGTTCACAGTTCTCATTCCTACCCTCAGTGATGGAGTTAGAGTTCCAGGCCCACGCGGTGAACGAGATTGTGAGTGTTAAGAGGGAATATGTAGTTTATGACCTGAAGACCCAAGTCCCACTCCATCAGGTGGTGCCCTGCTTCAAAGTGACGGTGAGTCCAGTCGGGAGGAGGCTGACAGAGGCCGGGCCCCATACCCCTGCTGCCCACCTCCTTCCTCTCCCTGCAAGGCCCTGGCTTTTTCCCCTTCCAGCTGAGCCTGAAGAACACTGCACTCAAGTCCATCATTGCTCTCTTGGTGCCTGCGGAGGCGCTGCTGTTGGCCGATGTGTGCGGGGGGCTGCTGCCCCTCTGGACCATCGAGCGCATTGCCTACAAGGTGACCTTGCTGCTGAGCTACCTGGTCTTCCACTCCTCCCTGGTGGAGGCCCTGCCAAGCTCCTCCTCCTGCAACCCCCTGCTCAGTAAGCCCTGTTCCCTCACCTGGCCTGCCCTGTTTCTCCCTGCCACCCGCTGCTGCTCAGCTGGCTGGGCACCAGAGACACAGGGACTAGCCTCTGATCATCTCCCCATGCCCTGTCTCCCCCAGTTTACTTCTTCACCATCCTGCTGCTGCTGCTCTTCCTCAGCACCGTGGAGACTGTGCTGCTGGCTGGGCTGCTGGCCAAGGGCAGCCTTGGGGCCAAGAGCAGCCCCAGCCCAGCCCTAAGAGGGGAACATCGAGAGCATGGCAACTCAGGGCCTCATCCTGAAGGTGGGCAGGGGCTGGGGGGTAAGGAATGAGGCCTAGCAGCACACCTAGGGCTCCTAGGGCTGGGGTGAGGGCGAGGGGCTCCAGGCATGTGTAGAGGCTCCCTGCATTTACCCTGCTGGCTTTTCTGTCCCTGGTCACCACCATGTCCTCCTTCCTTGGAAGAAACAGGTCTGGGGCAGGGAGCAAACTTAGCCTCCCTGAAGTCCCAGGTGACCTCGACGCCCTGATAACCCCATGCCTTCCACAGTCTTTCTGAGAGGGGTTTCTTCAACTGAAGATGGCCTGAAATGAGCTAGACCCAAAAGTACATCACCTGAGAATCTAAGAAAGGGAAAGATTCAGGCTGATGAGCCCTGGGGTTCACTCTGATCATGTTGGGGGGACCCTGAAGAACAACTTCTTTCCCTGCCTTTGTCCCTACAGAGCCCCCCAGGGGAGTAAAGGGGTCACAGAGGAGCTGGCCTGAGACTGCTGACCGCATCTTCTTCCTGGTGTATGTGGCTGGCGTGCTGTGCTGCCAATTCATCTTCGCTGGCATTTGGATGTGGGCAGCGTGCAAGTCTGACCCAGCCCCTGGAGAGGCTGCACCCCATGGCAGGAGGCCTAGACCATAACGGGGCAGGGCCTGGGCTGCACGCCTTAGGGTGACGTTTGCTGTCCCATGGCTGGGGGAGGCCATGACAGGGTCTCTGGACAAAGCCACCCCGAGCTCTCCCTCTGCTGGCATACAAGCAAAGCGTGAAATAAACCCATCCCCATGTGCAAGTGTGCCTCAAGGGCCAGTCTTCATTCTCATCCTAAATAGATGGGGTCCTATTTTTTTGCTTCTGACCTCTACTTTGCTCCTGATCTTTTACCCATTGTCCCTGTCTCCCAGTGCACGGGGAGGCAGCCTAACTGCTCCTTCTGCAACATGACTGCTTGGCCCTGGGCCAGGAGGCACTGAGGCTGGGGACCAGAGACACGGGCCTAAGGAAGGCTGCAGAGGGTGGGGCGGAACTCCTCCAAATGCCTCCTGCAATGTGCTGGACTCCAGGGGGAATGGCCAGTGAGCAGGCCTGCCCCCAGGCACCTAGGGGACTCCTGGGAGATGGAAAGGTCCCAGACCTCAGGCCTGTGGGAGAGCGGGAATGTGTTTTCTGCACTAAATCCAAGAGAGGGGTCAATGCTGCCTGCCTTCTCCAGGGGCTCTGGCCCTCTGGGCCTCACCACATTTCTGGGCTATAGGGGGACTTCTCTGGCCCCACCTCTGACCTAGGCTGGAGGTAGGACCATGCTGGCCTCCTGCTCTTGGTATACATGGGGCAGCAGTGGGCACAGGCCTGTCTTCCTTCTCTCCCTTCCTGTTTCAGAAGCCATCAGGGTCACAAAAGCCAAGGTGTGAAGAAACCCCAGTCTTCCGGGAGATTGCTGGTTTGGTTGGGAACATGGGGTGTGGGGAAAGAGCGGAACCCAGGACTAGATGGCTTGGGGACATGGCTCCTGGATGGGGTGTTGGAGACAGGTCTGTGTCCCAAAGGACTTCGAGCTCACCCGGCCAGAGGCAACTTAACACTGGCTTATCTGTCCAATGACACGTCAGTCTGGAACCAGGCAGGGCTAGCAGCAGGCTCAGGCAGAGGTGTCGAAAAGGCGATCGATCATGTCGCCCACCTGCTCCACACCGTACTTGATGTACTTCTCCGGGTTCTTGGTGAAGGGCACGCTGCCAAACCTGAGAGGGCACTGCCGTCAGGGGACAGGGAAGCCGACCCTCCCCAGCTCCACCCTCAGCCTAGGGCACTCCTGATAGAGTCTTGGAAGGCGTGACCCAGAGTGATTCCCTGTCCAGCCCCGCCCCAAAGCCCAGGGTGCTGGATCTGCGGCCTAAACCCATCACCGTTTCCCTTTTTACATTGAGGAAGAGGAGCTCGAAGATGCCCACTGGGGCTGTGGGCAGCACAGGCTGGGAAGGGGCTCACTTCTGCAGAAAGGCCCCGTATGTCTCCTTGACAATGGTCTTCTGAGCCTGGCGAATCCTGTCCCTCTGCTCCGTGTCCGGAATAGCCCAGGCCTTCTGGATTTTGCATAGTTCTTCGAGGCCATCATTGAAGCCCTGGCCACCAAAAAGGTGAAAAAGGAAGGGACCCAGAGACAAAACTTTGGGTCTGTGTTGTCTCAACGGCAGCAGCAAGCAGTGGAGGGGAGAGGACCGCAACTCACCTTAAAACGCTCCTTGATAATCTGCCGCTCCTTGTCCCGGAGCTGGGAAGCCAGGAGAGACGGCAGAGAAAGCTCAGTCAGAGCAGGGCGGCCTGCCTGCACTCTGTCCCAAACACCCTTGGCCTGGGCTTCTCTCCTGTGCCCTGATGGCCTTACGTATCCTTTGCTCTCTGATCCCAGAGGGACGCTTGTCCACTTTTCCCAGAGACATGACAAAGTACCCCGTCTGCTAGACACCCCTTCCCAGCCCAGGCCTTGAGCCCACCTTGACTCCCGGCTGGAACACAGGTAGATTCTTCTCTGCGATGTAATCGGTCACCTTTAACCAACTGCCAGACAGAAAGAGAAGCATGAGGGCAGAGCACGGCCTGCCTCGACGGCCTGGTTTGTGCCGTTTGTTAAATCTCTGGATCTACTTAGTGGTTGGTGGTAGGAAGGGATGTGGGTCACAACTAAGCAAAACAACAGATTCTTTTCCTGGGAATAGAAATTGTCTAAACAGGCCGGGCGCGGTGGCTCAAGCCTGTAATCCCAGCACTTTGGGAGGCCGAGGCGGGTGGATCACGAGGTCAAGAGATCGAGACCATCCTGGTCAACATGGTGAAACCCCGTCTCTACTAAAAATACAAAAAATTAGCTGGGCATGGTGGTGCGTGCCTGTAATCCCAGCTACTCAGGAGGCTGAGGCAGGAGAATTGCCTGAACCCGGGAGGCGGAGGTTGCGGTGAGCCGAGATCGCGCCATTGCGCTCCAGCCTGGGTAACAAGAGCGAAACTCCGTCTCAAAAAAAAAAAAAAGATGGAGAAACAGGGCCAGGCGCGGTGGCTCAAGCCTGTAATCCCAGCACTTTGGGAGGCCGAGGCAGGTGGATCACAAGGTCAAGAGATCAAGACCATCCTGGTCAACATGGTGAAACCCCTTCTCTACTAAAAATACAAAAAAGTAGCTGGGCATGGTGGCACATGCCTGTAATCCAAGCTACTCAGGAGGCTGAGGCAGGAGAATTGCCTGAACCCAGGAGGCGGAGGTTGCAGTGAGCCGAGATTACGCCATTGCACTCCAGCCTGGGTAACAAGAGCGAAACTCCATCTCAAAAAAAAAAAAAAGATGGAGAAACAGATCGGAAAGAAAGGAGTGAGTGGAGGGGAGATAAACAAGAGAAAGTGGGGGACACATTCAAAGGGAAGAAACAAAGCCAGGAAGAAAGAGGACCAGAGAAGCACAGAGATCCCCACAGAGCAAGGCCCAGCCAAGCTCAAGTGCTCTCATAACCTTGCGCTTCTCCTAGGCTAAACATTACCCACATCTCTGACAGCCAGCTCTTCGATTATTCTTAGCCTTGATACTTGGCAGGCTCCCCTCTAAAGTGGCTGGCCATAGTGGGCCTCTAGGAGCAGGTGGTGGCACAGGAGGGGGCTTCTCTCTCCACCCCATGAGTTTGATTAAAAACCAAGTAGAAGATTAGGGTCCAGAGGGCGGGAGTTCCCCATGACTGATCCCTGTGTCCTGAGGTGCTGAGAAGGAAGATTGAGTGGTGGCACAGGGGTGGGGTGAGGGCTGAGATGGCTGGGGGTCCATGCAGGGGCAGGGCGAGGCCAGCCTCTCACCTGCGCTGGTAGGTCTGGATCTGCTGCTCAATGTGCTCCCGGTAGGAGCGCTCGGCAGTCTTCTGTGTCACTGCTACCAGCTGGATCAGCTCGGACCTGGGTGGGGGTAAGGGACAGAGGAGAGAAGGACAGGATTGGCACCTAGGTGCAAAGGCTGTAGCAATGCCTGGGGGGGCCTCCCGTTGTACCCCAAACCTCATGAATTCTATAGCAGTAGCACTCCCACCTTCTGGGTCCTGGGATGGAGGAGACTGAAGTACCCCCTCCCCTCTCGACCACAAGAGAAGGAGCCCAGGAGGGCAGGGGCTGGCACAGCTGCACAGCTGAGGGGAAGGTGAAAGCTACAGACTCCCTCCCGCAGGCCACTTACTTCTCCAGGGACTTGAGGATGTAATTGTAGTTGTTGTGCAAGAAGATGGCACTCAGAGCTGGGTCCTCATACACCTTGGACTTGCTCAGCAAGTTCAACTGCAGGTTGCCCAGCACTTTACCTGCATAGGGAAAAGTGGGGCCATCCCCACCATGGCAGTTTGACCCAAATGACCCCATCCCAGGACCCACTAACCCACTCCTATCCATTGCTCCTCATCCTGCTTCAGAAGGCCTTAGCCCAACTCCCCTCAGTCTCTGAACTAGAGGCCAGGTTGCGGTCCCAAAGGTCAGATGGCACTTAGGAGAGGGCTCTGGGAATAGCCAGAGAGCACAGATGGAAGGAAGGGAAAGGTAGGGCATGCCAGCAGCAGGGCTGCTGGTCCGCACAGGAGAACACTCACAGATATAGGTGCTTAGCAGCCGCTTGCTGAACTCGGAGCTGTAGCTGGTGGCGGAAGAACTGGTCTCTGTGAGAGAAGGCCTGTTATTGCAGTGGCAGTAGCCAAGACCCTCAACGGCCCTTCCCCCGGCCCATGCAGCAGTCTGAGGGGGCACTGAGACAGGCCCTGGGCTTTCTCGGGCAGAGCTGGCCACCTGCTAAGTCACAGGGAAGCTCCTGCTGCAGGAAGCACCATCCCTGGACTTTTTGGAACCCAGAGCTGCCCTCTATGATGGGGTGGTGTGGCCAAGGAACTGGCCCAGTTCAGCAGGAGGGTGGGCAGGACAAGAGTGAGATGCCAGCGCCCTGCCCCCACCCCACCCCCGGCCCACCCTGGGTGGTTTCTACAGGGCTGCCTCTTCCCTTCTGCCAACAGCAGAGGCTTAGAAGGAGCTCCCCACAGCCTCTCCACCTCCCCCTACATTTCCAACATCCCCCTCTACCAGGTCCTACTGAACAGAGGAAGCAGTGGCCTCCACAGTGTGGAAAGCTGAGGGGGATGGCAAGGCAGGGAGGCTGGGCGAGCCTGCGGGGTGTATTTAGGGCGCTGACCCCGGCAGGTGCTGTGGATAAGGTCAGAGACAGAGTGGCCCTGAATGGAGCAGAGAGAACTGAGAGCACCCTGGGAAGACTCGTGTCCCCTCTGACCCGGGCTCCCCAATAGGTCCTGAGGCTCAGTCCCCAGGGAACCTCACCCGCCAGGCTTCAGAGGGACAAGAGGGGGGCTGCAGAACCGTACTGCTTACCTCGGGGGTCTAAAGGAATATTGTATGTGTCCCCAAGAACTACGGAGTGAAAGGCAGTGCACAGAGGGGATGCAGGGAGAGACAAAGGAGGGAGAAAGATGCAAAGTGCAAAAAACAGGTTAGAAACGGCACGTCAACCCACGAAGCAGACCTCTCCCCACGACAGCCAGAACGGACAGCAAGACACAGCAGGCGGGACCTTATGAGGACCAGGGCGTGCCCCGCAAAGTAGAGAGCTGGAGATCCAAAGACTGGAGGCTGCCCACAGGCTCCCTGCCCCCAAAATGGGAAGGGAGGGGAGGGCCTGGGGACCTCAGTGCTTGGAATGACCGAGAAAGCTGCTCTTGCTCACAGGCCGACCCCCTGAGCTCCAGTCTCAGGGCAGGGGCCCGCAGGAAGACACCCAGCTGGCCCTGAGACGCTTGATACCCATGGAAGGCCAGCTGAGCGAGCCTGATCAGAGCAGGCAGACACGAGAGAAGGATCTGGGAGGCGGGCAGGGGCAGAAAGGACATCTTCCAACCAGCCAGCACTGCTCCCAGAGTGAGGACACTGCTTCCAGGGCGAGGAAGGTCAAAGGGGCTGAGGGAGGGGCCAGAGGTCCAGTGTCTAGTCTTGAAAGGTGCAGGCAAACCTTGCTCTCCTGATGCTCAGCCCCAGGGCCCCTGTGCAGGCCACATATCCACGGCCTGGAGAGACCCCCTCACTGTGCCCTGCCCTCTAACCTCATGTCTCTAGGCAAGGAGGGGAGTGGGGCAGGGGGCCCAGCTGGGAGGTGCCAGTACCTTGGGAGGCCAGCATGGCACCTGCCGTCTCCTGGAAGTCCAAAAGCTGCTGCAGGAAGAGGATGGCCTGGGTGGGGAGAAGATGGTGCAGAAGGGCAAGTGGCAGGCCTGGCCAACGGCTCCCACACAGACCCCTCTGAGTGACCAGGACCAGCCCAGGCTGGCATCTGCCCAGTAAAGAGCGAGGCTGGAAACTGTGTTTTATTTCGTGGGCCCTGGTCTGCCAGGAAAGGCCTCGTCCGTTACAGACACGAAGCATGTCACCACCCATCCTGCCACCAGGGACTGCTTACAAAGGTGCAACTCTGGTGGGTCCCTTCCACCGGAAGGGACCTGGGCCTGCGTCCCTCCCCCTCCCCAGTGCTCTGGTGGTGCCTGGGTTGCCGGTGAGCTCGTTCCTCCTCCCTCCCCAGTACCCTCGGCGGTGCCTACGTTGCTGGTGAGCTCGTGCACGGTGCCGTCCTTGGGCATGTTATATTCCTTGTCCGGGTCATTCTGCGGAGAAACAGCCTCTGGTTCCCTGAAGCAGCCCCTGGCCCACCCCACACCCTAGTGTGCCTGCTCATGGTGCCACCTCCTGGCAGACAGGTGCTAGGACACCTCTCAGGCACAGAAGCCTAGCCAGGCTGGACCAAGTGGAAGAGGGGCTTCCTGCCTCAGAGGGCTTGGAGGCCCCGGGAAGGAAAGGAAAGCACAGGGGTGCCGACAGTAGGCCTGCAGCCCAACCAGAGACCCCCAGGGACAACCCACCCTCTTGGAGATCTGCTCTCTGAGAGCCCCCCAGGGCCAGGTCGCTGTGGCGCTGGGCCTGGGCGGAGGAAGGGGAGGACGGCAGGCACCTTGATGTTGTCCGCGAAGTCCTCCAGCGCTTTGGCACCGATGGTCTCCATGGAGGTGATGAGGCCAGGCAGCTTGTTCTTGGTGCTGGCGGCCGTGCCCTGAGGAAGCACAGGGGGCCCCCAGCTCGCCTCCAGTCGCCCTGTGAGCGTCTCACCCGCCCAGGGCCCCTTCTACGCGGCTTGCATGCGCCCTCAGAGCAGAGGTGTGAGACGGAGAATGGGGTTCTCCAGGGGAGGGAGTGGGGCGGCCATGCCGGCAGCAGAATGCCTCCTGGTCGTGTTTCCGAGGGCACCTCGCCACACACCTGGAGCACCTGGTCGAACTCAGGCTTCGTCTGCTTGAGGTGCCGCAGGATGGGGAAGACGGTGAGCACTGTGGAGAAGTCATGCCGCACAATGGCCTTCCGGGCAGCAGACACAATGTTCTCCCCCTCCAGCATCAGCCCATCCAGGGCATCCTGAGTGGACAGGGAGACGGTTCAAGGAAGGGCAGGGCAGTGGGAGCTGGCTCCAGGCTGGTAGGGGATCCTTGTAGGGTGTGACGGGGCCAGTGTGCAGGAAGAGGGGCGATGCGGAGGTGGTGAGTGTCTACCCAGGACCAGTCCCCAGGGCACAAGGTGGCGGTGGTGGCTGGAGTTGAGGGCTGCAGAGTCTGCGGTGACAGCTCTCAATAGGGCTGGCCGCAGAGCCCCTGGGGCAGGGCAGGACCTGTATCAGGGAGTCGAAGGTCTTCTTCTGGTGGTGCTCAGGGATGATGTCAGCCAGCAGCTGGTACTCGCTCTGGGCCAGCTTGACGAAGGCACTGACGCAGTGGATGTAGGCATCTGTCTCCACGTCCAGCATGTCATCTCTCCCTGGGGATGGCACAGCTCTTGAGCTGCCGGTCTGAGGCCAGCCACACTCCTGGCTGGGCGTGGCGTGGGTCCCCCAGCTCTTGGCCTGTAGTCCAGACCAGCAGCGGATGGGGAAGAGGCCGACTGTGCTGGCAGAAAGCTGCGAGGATGCCAGCAGACCCCGCCAGGTGTGAGAGGAACAACTAGAGCTGAGCCTAGCCTTTGTTCTGGCTTCATTCTCAGCTCTGTGCAGACGGAGGGGTCAGATGCCAGAGGCAGGAGGGTGAGGGACGGAAGGATAAGGAGGGAAGATCCCTGAGAATCAACGTCCTGGATACTGACCCCAGGACTGAGCGTTCTGCAGAGGTAGGAGGGTAAGGGACGGAAGGATAAGGAGGGAAGGTCCCTGAATCAACGTCCTGGATACTGACCCCAGGACTGAGCGTTCTGCAGAGGTAGGAGGGTGAGGGACAGAAGGATAAGGAGAGAAGGTCCCTGAATCAATGTCCTGGATACTGACCCCAGGACTGAGCATTCTGAGTTGTACCTGACAGAGGGAAGCCCAGGGTGGGCAGGTGGCAGTGCCACCTCAAGGAGCTGGCACTGGGGTCTTCCATGTGGGCAAACGCAGGGCCTGCAAAGGCAGTGACCACCCCAGTCAGGGTTTCTGGAACGTCTAAGAGGGTGGTGGGCTGCAGTCTTTGAGGCTGGCTGGCATGGGGTCAAAATCTGAGAAGGGGCTGGTAATTCCCAGAGAAGAGGGGTTGCCAGCTGCCCCAGGAGGAGGCCAGACCCTACTACTGGAGGCCGCAGCAGGGGCGCCTACAGACAAAACCAGTGGCAGAACCGCCTGGTCCTGTGTGCCAAGGGATGGGCTCCGAGGGGGTCAGAGCTCTGAGCTGTTGCAGGAGACAGACATCAGGGCTCCCTCCCCTCAAGGCAGCCGCCTTCCCTCTCTGCCTACTTTCTGAGTAGCAGCAGCTTCTCCCCTTGGCCCAGGCCTGAGAGCCAGGCACGCACTCCCATCTGGAGAGAGGCAAGGAGACCCTAGGCCCAAAAGAGAGAGAGTGGAGAGAGGCGCATAGGCCTGGCCATCTTCAGAGCAGAGTGGGCCCGGCTGGGCCAGGCAGGAGCAGGCCATCTGGGGACCGCTGCAAAGGCATTGTCAGCGGCTGCCCTGGGGCTGGACTGCGGTACTCACCGGCCAGTGGCCTGTGCTTGTCGTTCAGGGCCTCGGACAGGTGCTTAACTCGGAAATCATGCTCGTGACCTGGCGAGACGTTGGCCGCACAAACACAAGCAGCGTTTATCCAGGGGCCAGGTGGGCTGCCCCTTGGGGTGCGGGGAAGAAGCCTTTCATCTCCAGGAGGGGGATGTCAGATGGGGGGTGGGAAGTGGGCATCGGGAAGGGCTCTGAGCCCCTCCTCTACCTCAAGCTACCTTGGGAACAGCCATTTCAAGCCTGACTTCAGTGAGCACCCAGGACCGTCCTTAGCTGCTCACTTCCCCAAGCCTGGAGGCCCAGGGCAGTGGGAAAGGACCAAGGAGGCGCTGAAGAGCTGACGCCTGGCCCCAGGGGGTTCCCCACCTCACTGTATTTGGGAACAGCCCCGGTTTGCCTGTCCCCTGCTGCACACGCTCCCCTTTCTAAAGAGGGGAAGGCCAGGAGGCCTCGGCCAGCTGGGGCCTGCCACTGCTGGTCTGAGCGTGAAAGGGCTGCCCCAAGACAAATAACTTTCTCTGAGTTCACACGGGAGACGCGGACAGAGACAGGGAGGGGAGGAGGGAAGCCTCAGGGAGGGCAGAGCTGCCATCAGCCAGAGAGGACCAGGCCGAGGGCCGCGAAACTGTCCCTGCACCCACTGAAGCCCGAGTGGCATCCGGGACCTGCCGTTCCCACCCTGCTCCCCTCAGGGTTTCTCCCGAGGCCCTCCTGGGGGGAGGCTCTGCCCTGCCAAGTGCGTGGACACACAGTGGAGGAGGAGGGACGGGAGGGAACACAGGGTGATTACCTTCCAGAGGAATGAGGTTAGAGCCCCCCTTTTTCCCATCTAGACCATGCTGGGAATACTGTTTCAGAAGGTTCTGAGCCTTACGGATCGTCCCTGTCACCAGAGCCACACAGAGAGGAGATAAGAAGACCTAGGAAATGAGTGAGAGAAAACAGCAGCGGCCCTCCGCCTGCCCCCAGGCCCCGCACCCGGCCCCATACAGTGAGCAGGCCCTTCCCTGGGACCCCCAGAGACCCTGGGGACAAGGACGAAGGAAAGGAGTCATTTCCTTCTCCACAGGAGCCTTGATTCTACTACTGACCCTCCTTGTCCTGGATTTCAGTTCATTTCTGAAAGGACCGAGGGTGATAGAGATAACAACGGACCAAGATCCACCAGGAAAAGTGAAAATAAAAAATACCACGGAGTGGCCCTGTCATCAGAAAAGGCAGGGGCTCAGGTCGGAGGAACTGGTGATAAAGCTCTCATACCCAGAGGGTACAACCAGGATGGCAGAGCCTGGGGGCACCCTGAAGCCAGCAGGCCTCCAGCCCAGCCCAGCCCCAGACTCCAGGCAGAGTTCTCTGAGCATGCTCAGTGTTGGGACATAAGCTGAACAGCAGCCAGCGGGAAGCCATCCCAACTGAACTTCCGGGGAGCGCTGTGCCCAAGGTGGAAGGCTCACAGACCCAGCGGCAGCCTACCCACACAGCAGAGTTCTCCAAACCACCAAAGCCACAGGAAAAAATCCGAAAGCCAAGAAGGGGTTAACAGAAGCCACCACACAGAGAGCCTGGAGGGTGCACTCGGAAGGAGAAGGTACATGTTCTTGGCATGGAGGAAAAAACCAAAAGTTAATATCACAAGTGAAAGCAATCAGCACAAAAACGGCAGCGCCCACAGCCGCCTGGGTCAGCCTCCTCTGTCAGCCTCCTCTGTCAGCCTCCTCTGAGGGAATGAGACATCTCGGGGCCGAAGACGTGGAGAAATCAACTCCCGTCTCAAATAGACAAGTGCAGCTGCCTTGTTAACAAAATGTATGGGAGAAGGAAGGCACCCGGGACGCCCCCGCCCCCCACTGCCCATCTGAGCACAGTGAGGATGCTGTGTCCTGGCAGCTCCTCAGAAAGCTGAGGGAGGAAGGGGCAGTGTCTGGAGGCTCATTGCTTGCACCTGCACTGCACCACACCACACCACACCACACCACAATTAGCTCTTTTTTTCCTTCTTTGTTTTTGAGACAGAGTCTCGTCCTGTCACCCAGGCTGGAGTGCAGTGGCTCAATCTCAGCTCACTGCAACCTCTGCCTCCCAGGTTCGAACTATTCTCCTGCCTCAGCCTCCCGAGTAGCTGGAATTACAGGCATGTGCCACCATGCCTGGCTAATTTTTTTTTCTATTTTTAATAGAGATGGAGTTTCACCATGTTGGCCAGGCTGGTCTTGAACTCCTGACCTCAGGTGATCCGCCTACCTCAGCCTCCCAAAGTATTGGGATTACAGGCATGAGCCACCATACCCAGTTCACGATTAGCTCCTAATAACCAAGTCCCACGGCCTGGCTCTCATCTGCTTTGTTCATTCTCTCCCCTTCAGCAAGCACGGCTCACTAATGAGTGAATCTGATTCCTGTCCCACGACCCACCAGGAGCAGAGGCAGACGCACACCCGCAGGATGTGGGTCGGGAACGTGGATCTGGTGGCCACCAAACCCATCAGGCACCTAATTACCTCCAGGGATACTGAGGTCACTACTTCACCTGGGAGGCCCCCCTGCCCCTCTCCTCAGAAGTGGGAACCAACGTCCCCAGGGCTTGATTCCTTAAAGCCTGACATCAGTCCTGAGCCCACCAGTTCCTGACGACTCTTGAAACCCCACAGCCCCCCACAGCCGGAGAGTTTTCCTCTTGTATCTCTGGGGCAAGGATCGATGTGGTCCACTGTGAGCTCCCTGAGATCAGATCCCTGCTCCCTGAAAGGCCGGGGGGCTGCATGGCCAGCGGGCACTCTTAGGGCAGTGCAAATAGGGCTCTGGGGCCTCCTGGGGGCCAGTCACAGAACCAGGCAGAAGAGGAAGCGAGTGCAGACTAGCTGGGGCCCAAGCAGCCTCGCAGCCTTACAGGGACGGCTGCTCCACACCACACGGAAGACACAGAAATGCCCTGGCCACCGCACAGGCAGCTGGGCCCACAGGCTGGGCTAGCAGTCCCCGTTGGCAGCAGGTTTTGTCTGGGTGGGTAGGGAGAAGGCCCCAGGCCCCAGCTCCCTAATGCTCTACTCACTTGTGCCTCTGAGAGCGGCCCCTGTTCTGCCCGTTTCTCCAAACCCTAAACAAGGGCCTGCAGGGGAGCAGGTGCCCTCGTGGAGCAGACGCTGCGCTCTCCGAGGGGCGGAGCAGGTAGGAACTGGAGAAAGGGAGGGTAAGTAAGTAAGTAAGCTCTACACAAAGCCTGTTGTCACGAGAAGTAGGTCCCACAGCAGCTAGGGCAGGTGCTTGCAGCAGCAGCTGGGCAGGGGGCCGGCCTGGGTTGGAGCAGCCCCGGCATCTCTGGCTTTCTCTCCCAGAGCAATCTCAGTCCCACCTAATAACCAAGTCCCCACTGGAACATCCCAGCATCTCCTCAAGCTGCAGCAAGCACCTCTCGGTGGCGAGACCAGGCTTGCCAAGCTGTGGCTCACAGAGACGCTATTTACCTGGAGCACAGACTACAAGGGACATGACGCCAGTGAGAAAGAACAGAGAGATGACGAGATGTTCACCCAGGACAGCGACAGCCCCGCCCAGGCCTCTCATCGTGGTGCCCCTTTCCACAAGGCACCAACTCACACTGGAGCCCAAAGCCAGTTTAAGTTCTTCTGAGAGGATGCTCTGGGGTTTCTTTCCTTTGTGGATTGACCGGGAAAGTGAAATTCTCCCCATCCAGCTCTCAGCTAAACGTCACTTCAGGTCACCCTGCTTTTCTGGAAGGTGAAGGTTAGAGCGCCTGTCCCCTTGCTGTCTCAGCATCCTTCCTAGCTGCAGCAGTGTGTCAGGCCTCCTGACAGGGCGATGTGTGTGTGAGGGGGGGGTCCAGGCAGGGGCTCTGCCCTGGAGGCCTCTGCAGCCTGCCTCAGACGGGATTAACTGAGTACCTGTAAGCCCCCCACTACAAAGAAGCTGTGTAACCCCCAGGCTCTGCTGGCTGGAAGGAAGAGCCTCACCCTTGGGGGGACTCACTGGGTGGGCAGACACTTGCTTTCTGTCCTGTGTATCTACAGTCGGGGTTACCATGACAACAAACTCTGGAGGGACCTGATGCTGCGAACGCTAGACTGGACAAAAGCAGTGCAGGTCCCAGTCAGCCTCTGGCTGTGGCAGAGATGGGCTAGGATGGGGGCTCACCTGGCCGCTTGACTGGCTTCTTGGTAGGTGTGTCTTTCCTCTTGTTGGGGATAGCAGGGGAGTAGGGTACCCCAGAGGAAGAACTGCTCTTATGGAAATGCTCCTTCAGGCCCTTGATGGAGCGGTCCAGCTGGCTGGAGCGTATCTGGTAGTAGACGTTCATGAAATCTAAGGAGACACGGAGCGATAGAGGTATGGCTGCCAGGCCCTGCCCTGCCTTGCAGACCTGCCATGTCTACCTGTCAACCCTTCCTAGCATCTGCTCTCCATTCTGGGTCACAAGCCACCCACGTCTTGTCCCAAATCAGGCAGTCTTTCAATTTTTTTTTTTTTTTTTTTTTTTAGGCAGGGTCTTTCTCTGTTGCCCAGGCTGGAGTACAGTGGCACCATCATGGTTCACTGCAGGCTTCACCTCCTGGGCTCAAACAATCTGCCCACTTCAGCCTCCCAGAGTGCTGGGATTACAGGCATGAGACACTGTGTCCAGCCAGGCAAAGTCTCAAAAGAGAAAAATATCCTCTAATAGAACTGATAATTAGTTGTAAGTTGTTATTTGTTTTTGAGACCGGGTCTTATTCTGTTGCCCAGACTAAGTGTAATGGCGCAATCTCGGCTCACTACAACCTCCACCTCCCAGGCTCAAGCAATTCTCCTGCCTCAGCCTCTCAAGTAGCTGGGATTATAGGCACATGCCACTACCACCTGGCTATTTTTTGTATTTTTTAGTAGAGATGGGGTTTCACCATGCTGGCCAGGCTCATCTTGAACTCCTGACTTCAAATGATCCACCCACCTCAGCCTCCCAAAGTGCTGGGATTACAGGCATGAGCCACCTTGCCCAGCCCTAGTTGTAAGTTTTGAATGGTACTTTTTTTTAAAAAAAAGTAAAAAACATAAAGTTAACATCCAGATTCGACTTGGTAAGGGGTCAAAGAACATGAGCAATTTATAGGAGGTGAAAAGACAACAAATGTCAGTGAATGAAGAACACACATCTTTAGTCATTAACAAAGTACAAATTAGGCCGGGCATGGTGGCTCACACATGTAATCCCAGCCCTTTGGGAGGCCGAGGCAGGCGATCACAAGGTCAAGAGATTGAGACCATCTTGGCCAACATGGTGAAACGCCATCTCTACTAAAAAATACAAAAATTAGCCGGGCGCGGTGGCTCAAGCCTGTAATCCCAGCACTTGTGGAGGCCGAGGCAGGCAGATCACCTGAGGTCAGGAGTTCAAAACCAGCCCGGCCAACGTGGCAAAACCCTGTCTCTACCAAAAAATACAAAACTTAGCTGGGCATGGTGGTGTAATCCCAGCTATTCAGGAGACTTAGGCAGTAGAACTGCCTGAACTTGAGAGGGAGAGGTTGCAGTGAGCCGAGATCACGCCACTGCACCCCAGCCTGGGTAATAGCGAGACATCATCTCAAAAACAAAACAGTGCCACACTGAATATCCATTGGAGTTTTTATTTTCTAAAATTTTCGCTTAAAGATTTGTTTTTCTAATCTTAGGACTGGGTAAAGAAATAATGGCAACATCGTGTCATGGATATTATATAGCTGTTGAAAAGAACAAAGCAAATCTACATCTACTGATATGAAACAATCTCAAGGCATATCATGAAGTTAAAAAATAATAATCATAAGACAGTGTAAGTACATGTCCTCTCATTTGAGACTTAGAAGATACATACATATTCTCTCTTACACACACACACACAGATTTGCATGAAGATTTTTGGGGGGGGCAGGCACGGTGGCTCATGCCTGTAATCCTAGTACTTTGGGAGGCCGAGGCAGGTGGATTACCTGAGGTTAGGAGTTCAAGACCAGCCTGGCCAAAATGGTGAAACCCCAACTTTACTAAAAATACCAAAAAAAAAAAAAAAAAAAAAAAAAATTAGCCATGTGCAGTGGCGCGCACCTATAATCCCAGCTACTCGGGAGGTTGAGGCAGGAGAACTGTTTAAGCCTGGGCTGTGGAGGTTGCAGTGAGCCAAGATCATGCCACTGCACTCCAGTCTGGATGACAGAGCAAGACTTTGTCTCAAAAAAAAAAAAAAGATTTTTTTTTTTTGGAAGGGTATAAATAAACCTTTTTTTTTTTTTCTTTCTTTTGAGACAGAGCCTCGCTCTGTCCCCCAGGCTGGAGAGCAGTGGTGTGTTCGCAGCTCACCACAACCTCCACCTCCCAGGTTCAAGTCACTCCTCAACCTCACCTTCCGAGTAGCTGGGACGACAGGCATGTGTCACCACACCCAGCTCATTTTTCTATTTTTTGTAGAGACAGGGTTTCATCTTGTTGGCCAGGTCTTGAATTCCTGAGCTGAAGCCATCCACATGCCTCAGCCTCCCACAGTGTTAGGATTACAGGCGTGGCTACTGTGCCCGGCATAGATACACCTTAACAGTGCTCATCTGTGGGTTATGTCACAGAGGCATCAGGGAAGTGGGAGATGGACTTTGACTTTTCACCCATGGCTTTCTGTACCATTTGAATATTTTACAACTAATCAAAAAAGGCAAAGGAACATAAAAACCAAGTCAAGAAAACTTTGAATTTACCTAGATTCACAATCTGATATGTAAGTCATAAAACTGTTGTTTATATTGGTTCCAGTTGAACTTTCTTTTTTTTTTTTTTTCCCCCCCCCCCCGGAGACTTGCTCTGTCACCCAGGCTGGAGTGCAGTGGTGCGATCTCAGCTCACTGCAACCTCTGTCTCCTGGATTCAAGCCGTTCTCTTGCCTCAGCCTCCTGACTAGCTGGGATTACGGGCATGTGGCACCACACCCACCTAATTTTTGCATTTTTAGTAGAGACAGGGTTTCACCATGTTGATCAGGCTGGTCTCAAACTCCTGACCTCGTGATCCACCAGCCTCTGCCTCCCAAAGTGCTGGGATTACAGGTGTGAGCCAATGTACCTAGCCCCAGTTAAACATTCTTTTATCAAAAGCCCATGACCAGTGGATTAAAGAATAAAGGGGAGAAAACTCCCTCTGCCTCTGGAGTGCCATGTGGCTGAGCCACAGCCCCTCACCTTGGTTGCGGCCATATTCCACCAGCCAGCGGGAGATGCGAATGACATCCTGGAGCACGCTCTCAGGCAGGTGCTCCAGGGCCACGTCCTCCTGGGCCTCCAGATCATCGTCACCACTTATCAGATCCAAGATGAGCACAGGGGAGACGACCTTACTGTGCCGCGTCATCAGGCTCCGGAACTCGGACTCCAGGGACTCCTTTCCCCTCTCAAAGAGCAGTTTCTGCAGGGATGACAGAAGGAAGTGGGTGCCTGCTGCTTCAGTGTTCTGCCATACCTGGCTGGTCCCTGCCTGAGCAAGCTCTGTCTTCCTAACTCGGGGCCTCTGTCCTTTTCTGCCCTGATATCCTTTAACCAAAGAAGAAATGTCGGGAAGCGGCTTTGGTGACTCCTTGACTTCATGTTCTCTCAAAATTTATGTTTACAGGTAAAACCCAGGGTTTTACAAGAAAGTGGGTGCTTAATAAATACTGGCTGATTATTTTCTCACTGTATCGTTAATTTGTCTCCTTGTTAGTGAGGGGTTTGCCAAAGAAAATAAATAAATGAATTGGACAATATCAAACTGAAAACTTTTGTGCTGCAAAGAATACCATCAACAAAGTGAGAATGAGAGAAAATATTTGTAAACCCCACAGAATGAGAGAAAATATTTGTAAACTACGTATCTGATAAGAGACAGGTATCACAAACATAGAAGAGAATAAATCTGTCCACAAGATGACATGTTTAAGAGGGTTTATACCAGTGTTACTCACAAGAGACAAAAATTGGAAACCACCTAAGTGTCCATCGGAGGATAAATGGTTAAAGAAAATGTGGTCTGGGCTGTGTGAGGTGGCTCACGCCTGTAATCCCAGCACTTTGGGAGGCTGAGGCAGGTGCATCATGAGGTCAGGAGTTCAAGACCAGCCTGGCCAAGATGGTGAAACCCTGTCTCTACTAAAAATACCAAAAATTAGCTGAGCGTGTTGGTGGGCGCCTATAATCCCAGCTACTCAGGAGATTGAGGTAGAGAGTTGTTTGAACCTGGGAGATGGAGGTTGCAGTAAGCCGAGATAGAGCTGCCACTGAACTCCAGCCTGGGTGACAGAGTGAGACTCCATCTTTTTTTTTCTTCTTTTCTTTTCTTTTCTTTTTTTTTTTTTTTAAGAGACAAGGTTTCACCATGTTGGCCAGGCTAGTCTTGAACTCCTGATCTCAGGTGATCCGCCTGCCTCAGCCTCCCAAAGTGCTGGGATTACAGGTATGAGCCACTGCACCCGGCTGAGACTCTATCTCAAAAAGAAAATGTGGTCTGCCCAAATAAAGGAATATCATATGGCAAGAAAAAGGAATGAAGTACTAACACATGCTATAGCATGGATGGATCTTGAAAGCATCATGTCAAGTGAAAGAAGCCAGTCACAAGAGACCAGGTATTATAAGATACCATTTATATTAGAAGTTCAGAATAGGCAAATCCATTAAGGTGGAAAATAGATTTGTTATTTCCAGAGGCCCAGCTACCATCTTTCTCTGATGACCTAATAACCCCAAAACTTAAAGATAAAATGCCGGCAGGTACAGTGGCTCATGCCCGTAATCCCTCGCAGCACTCTGAGAGGCCAAGGTGGGAGATCAAGTGAGGACAGTAGTTTAAGACCAGCCTGAGCAACACAGAAGACCTCATCTCTACAAAAAATTTAAAACTTAGCTGGGCATGGTGGCACATGCCTGTGGGCCCAGCTATTCGGAAGGCTGAGGTGGGAGGATTGCTTGAGCCCAGGAGTTTGAGGCTGCAGTAGCTATGGTTGTGCCACTGTAGTCTGGCCTGGGTGACAAAGCCAGACCCTGTCTCTTTTATTTATTTATTTTTTTGAGACAGGCTTTCACTCTTGTTGCCCAGGCTGGAGTGCAATGACGCGATCTCAGCTTACCACAACCTACGCCTATGGGTTCAAGAGATTCTCCTGTCTCAGCCTCCCAAGTAGCTGGGATTACAGGCGTGCACCACACCTGGCTAATTTTATATTTTTAGTAGAGATGGGGTTTCTCCATGTTGATCAGGCTGGTCTTGAACTCCCGACCTCAGGTGATCCATCTGCCTCAGCCTCCCAAAGTGCTGGGATTACAGGCATGAGCCACCGTGCCCAGCTCAGACCCTGTCTCTTAAAACATATATATTAAAAAGACATAATGCAAAAAAAAGTCACATAGGTTCAGGTCCCTAGAGTAGATTCACGGAAACAGAAAGTGGAATGGTGGTTACCAGAAGACAGAGGAAGAGAGAATGGGGAGTTAGTGTTTGACGGGTATAGAGTTTCACTTGGGGAAGATGAACATACTTGTGGAGATAATAATGGTGAGGGCTACACAACAATGTGAATGTACTTAATGCCACTGTTTTTTGTTTTTGTTTTTTGAGACGGAGTCTCGCTCTGTCGCCAGGCTGGAGTGAAGTGGCATGATCTCGGCTCACTGCAACCTCTGTCTCCCGGGTTCAAACAATTCTCCTGCCTCAGCCTCAAGTAGCTGGGACTAGAGGCACGTGACACCATGCCTGGCTAATTTTCATATTTTTAGTAGAGACGGAGTTTCACCATGTTGGCCAAGATGGTCCAACCATCAATTTAGAGTTAAAATAGTACATTTTGGCCGGGCGTGGTGGCTCAGGCCTCTAATCCCAGCACTTTGGGAGGCCGAGGCAGGCAGATCACCTGAAGTCAGGAGTTTGAAACCAGCCTGGATAGCATGGTGAAACCCTATTTATACTAAAAATACCAAAAAAATTAGCCAGGCATGGTGGAACGTGCCTGTCCCAGCTACTCAGGAGGCTGAGGCAGGAGAATTGCTTGAATCCGGAAGGTGGAGGTTGCAGTGAGCCGAGATTGCGCCACTGCACTCCAGCTTGTGCAACAAGAGCAAAACTCCATCTCAAAAAAAAAAAAAGTATGTTTTATATTATGCATTTTTAACCAAAATAAAGAAACAACACATACATTTTTAAAATCAAATGTGGGTGGGTGCGATGGCTCATGCCTGTAATCCCAGGCCAAGGCGCAGGATCACCTGAGGTCAGGAGTTCGAGACCAGACTGGCCAACATGGTGAAACCCCATCTCTACTAAAAATACAAAAATTAGCCAGATGCAGTGGCGCACACCTGTAGTCCCAGCTACTCAAGAGGCTAAGGCAGGAGAATCGCATGGACCTGGGAGGCTGAGGTTGTAGTGAGCCAAGCACTGCATTCCAGCTTGGGTGAGAGTGGGACTCTGTCTCAAAAAAAAAAAAAAATTAAACATATGTAATTTATAATATAAATTTTTTTTTTTTTTTTCTTTGAGATGGAGTTTCGCTCTTGTTACCCAGGCTGGAGTGCAATGGCGCGATCTCGGCTCACCGCAACCTCCGCCTCCTGGGTTCAGGCAATTCTCCTGCCTCAGCCTCCTGAGTAGCTGGGATTACAGGCACACGCCACCATGCCCAGCTGATTTTTTGTATTTTTAGTAGAGACGGGGTTTCACCATGTCGAACAGGATGGTCTCGAACTCTCAACCTCGTGATCCACCCGCCTCGGCCTCCCAAAGTGCTGGGATTACAGGCTTCAGCCACCTCTCACATTATTCTGCTGATCCCTTACCACTTTGTTTAGTTCTGGGCTGTCTGGGCTGTTGTCCTGGAAATACTCCACTGCCTTCTGAATCTTGGCCATGCTTCCCAGGTACTCTTCCAGCCTTCCTGTGGGACTGAGAAGAAGAGCCAGATCACGCTGAGGCATGGAGGATGAAGAGGGACTAAGGACAATGTATTTGGAAGGGGCAGAAGAGAATTAATACAGGGGACTCCAGGCTTAAATATATTCTACCCCTCCTCCCTTTTAAGGACTAGGGCTGTTGGTCCAAGAGGCATTCAGAATTGACCCTCTGGGCCTCACTCACCCCTCTCTAATGATCTTCTCAGTGTCACTGGCCACATGGTAGTAGCTGATGACATGGTCCAGGCAGGACAGAGTCTTCTCCACATTCTCCTGCAACCGCTGCAGATTCTCCGTCTGCTTGTGCACAGGGATGATGGAGTTCTCCAGCTTCATAAGACGGCTCTCAAAGGATGATAAGATAGACACCTGCAGGAGGGAAGCCTCTTGATCTCAGGCCTCATGGTGGTCCCAGCACTGCTTCTACACACCCACCTGTGGCATTTCCTGCCTTTTTTCTGGTTTCTAGATAATAAACTCCACAAGGGAAGGACCAGAGTGTACCTGTTCCCCACTGTGCCCTCAGCACCTATCATTTGCCTGGCAGATAGTAGATGGTCTAAGACAAATTGATTGAAATTTTATCTGAAGGCAAACCAACCATCGTATTAATGCTTCCTAAAATAATCAGCCCAAGATGGCTTCCTTTCCACCCTTTGAAGCCAAATCTCCAAATCTCAACTTCTGCTCTCTCTGATGCATTCCTAAACTGGACTGGAGGTCATTTCATACAGAGTAGCCTTAAATGCATTGCTGTCAAAACCCTCTCTAAGGATGAAACTCATTAAATAAGGACTAGAAACTGGGCATGATGGTTCATGCCTGTAATCCCAGCAATTTGGGAGGCTGAGGCGGGAGGATCGCTTGAGCCTAGGAGTTCAAAACAAGCCTGGACAACACAGTGAGACCCTGTCTACACACACACACACACACACACACACACACACACACACACACACAAAATTAGCAAGGCATGGTGGTGCATGCCTACAGTCCCAGCTACTGTGAGGCTGAGGCAGGAGGACTGCCTGAGCCCAGGAGTTAGAGACTACAGTGAGCTACAGTCATGCCACTGCACTCTAGCTTGCACAACAGAGCGGGACCCTTTCTCTAAAAAAAAAAAAAAAAAAAAAAAAAAAAAAAAAAAAAAATTTAATAAAAAATTTTAAAAAACGACTAAGACTTTATTATTGTGTGACTAAACACAAATACTAGTTTGTATTATTCACTTTGTGCTTTTCCAGTCTCCCCTAGGAATAAAGAAAGAAACTAATTTATTGAGTACCTATTATATACCAGGCACTGTGCAAGATGCAGTCTCTTGCATTAGCACAAATGACCATCACAGACACATTGGGAGGCTGGCACAGTCTCTGTTTTAGCATATAAATTCGCAGACACCAGAGTTACCTATCAGGAGCCGCACATCCAAGCAGCAAGGATTAGATCCCAGATCTGCCTGACTTCAGGACTCTTTCCCCTAAAGTCCTCTGGAGTGAAGGCTGAGTCTTCTCTGCCCTCAGTAATCTCAAAGAGCCAGCCTCCCGGGCAGAGGGTCCATTGACAAGGACGCATGCCCAGTACCGAGCCCACCTGGTCAGTCTCAGTGTTTGCAGAAGGAGACAAGGAAGAATGGCGAGTTTAGACAGAAAGCAGCAAGTCCAGGCCAGTGGGAAGTGCATCCTTCTCAGGGAGGGGCGGAACACCGGGAGGGGGCTAGGGAGGAAACCCACACACTGCCTCCGACGCTACGCGTGCCAGAACCCCAGGCCGCAGGAACCGGAACGGCCAGGTCGCACGGCTGTCCCCCAGGGTCCGGAGGACTGCCGCCCTCCCCCAGCTGCGGGGAGACTCACCATGTTGTTAGTGAGCTGGTCGCTCTTCTCCAGGCTGTCTCGGATGAAGGACAGCGTCTCCTCCTCCTGGGGGCAGGGAAGGGGAGGACATCACCAGAAGCCAGAGGCTAAAGGCCACTGCGTCCCGACCCCACGGCCTACCCCCAACCCCATCGCCTCGCAGGGTGCGCTCCCTCCCACCGCTGCCTCCTCTCGGAGTAGACACCCAGGCCCCGCTGTTGGCCCCTTTCCCTCACCTCCTTCCCAGCCTCCCCAGCCCCATGCCCACCTGCTTCAACTTGTCCTCGATCTCCCGCCGCCTGGCGGATGCCTCCTGTGGGGGAATCATAGCTCCGAACCCCGCAGATCCCACTCCCCAGTATCTTTCTCCAGCTAGCCCACCAGGCCCCCGTCCCCGTCACACCCACTTCCGCTCTTGGTCCCGCCCCAGGATGAGCCATGTTTAGAGTGGCAGGCGGAAGTGCGCCTGGGCTGAGCCCAGGATCGGACCGACGGCCATCTTGAGTGTGGCTCTGAAGTGAGGCGTACTCGGATCCTAACAGGAACCTCGAGGCGCCTGTTCCTTGCCTCATCAGAGAAGGTTCTCGATCGGCTTTATGTCCCGCTGCTGGCAGGATCCTTATAGGTCACTTGCTGTTTTCGTTGAAAGACCGAACTTTTTGATAAAGACTGCTGGGGAAAGCGACGAATTCCTTTCTCCAGGTCGCATTCTGTGGGCAGGCACCAAGGCCGATCACTTTCCCCAGAGAGCCCGGCACGGAGCAGGTGGCACAGTAGATGCCAACATGTGTCCATTTGATGAACCAGGGGCTTGCGTAGACGTCTGCCCCTTCCACCCTGCATTACGCAAAAACGTATCGTGTGGGCTGGCGAGGCTGCTCCGGAGCTCGGGTTCCAGACCCAGCTTCCAATTGCAGCTCCAGGGTGTGTGTGTGTGGGTGGGGGGGCGCTCCTGAATTAACGCCCTTGCAGGGCTGGATGTTGTGGTTGCAGACCCAGCTCCTGAAAAACCTAGCGTCACTCCTTCCTCTAACCCGTCCCTGCCCAAAAGATTTGAGGGAACACCAAGCTTTTCTTTTTTTCGTTTTTTCTTTTCTTTTTTTTTTTTTTGAGAGGGAGTCTCACTCTGTCGTGCAGTGGCACGATCTCGGCTCACTGCAACCTCTGCCTCCCCGATTCAAACGATTCTCCTGCTTCAGCTTCCCTAGTAGCTGGAATTACAGGCGCATGCCAACACGCCCGGCTAATTTTTTTGTATTATTACTAAATTGGGGTTTTACCGTGTTGCCCAGGCTGGTCTCAAATTCCTGATCTCCTGATCCACCCGCCTCAGCCTCCCAAAGTGCTGGGACTACAGGCATGAGTCCCTGCTCCCTGCCTAGTGAGCACCAAGCTTTAGGGCTCCCAAGCGCTCCCTCCGCCCACAGCCACCCAAAGAGGAGGAGGAAATGGGGGCACAGAGCCTGGAGAGGGATGGGCGGCCTTCCCTCCGGCCGGAGGACAATTTCAGGCCTGTTGTCGCTGGGGGAGATAAAAGGCAGCTTCCTGTGTCAGGAAATACCCAAAATAAATACCCAGAATGATTTCGCGGAACTGGTCCTCGTGTAGTCCTAAGGGCTAAGTTCAGGAAATTTAAACTGTTAAGTGTCACAGAACAGAATGAGGGGGCTAGGCTAGTGAGCTACCGTGGATAGGGTGTTTTGGGCTCAAGTGAACACCCTGAGGGCGTGGTCCAGGATTTAACCTGAATTTCTGAACAGTTCCTAGCCCATAGTAGATGCTTAAGAAAAATACTGATAATAATATTTTGCTCCATAGGTCTTAGGAAGGGAATCCTTGATGCTCTTGAAGAAGCTAATATTTTCAATTTTGTATGATGTCATTGCATTTTTGTAAATAAACTGTGTGGTTTGCTGCATTTCCTTCAGTTTGCTTCAGTGTCTTGAGTCTAATGGGGTTGCTAACTACCCTGCACTGAGCGCCTTCTGTTTGCCCATCCCTACGACCAACACTGCGCTTGCTAATGCTCCCCTAATCCTCTTCATAAACCTGGGAGTCAGGCACAGCTGTCATCTTCCTCGTGCAGATGAGGAAGCTCCGGTGCAGAGAGGTCAGCCGTACTAAGTCAACACAGCTGGCCAGGAAAGGGTGCAGCCCGGGCGGCCTCTTCTTTCTCCTCATGCTGGGCAGCTCAGGAGTGGTGTTTGCGATGCAAAGCTGCCGATCTGATTTTCCAAAAAATTCATTCTGAAAAGCACGTTGTATTTGAGACAATGATATTTACTAAGAGTAGAGAGAATGAAAAAATGAAATTATTCTCAACCTATTATCAGCCTTGGGTTGACAACAAATAGGTATTGATTGAGGTAAAGCAATAATTCCCTAACTAGACCCAACATAAGCTACTTTAGCAAAGGGAACAAGTGGGGTTTTAGTTGCGGTCTCAGAAATCTTAGTTCTCACATCCACAAACTTGTGCAGAGCGCCAAGGTGCCAGCCATAGTTAAGCCCCCACTTCCCGCTCACAGAGATGATATTTCCAGAGGGAGGAAGGAGGAAAGAAGGAAGAAGGATAGGAAAGGGCTTGGCGCGGTGGCTCACGCCTGTAATCCCAGCACTTCTGGAGGCCAAGACTGTGGATTACTTAAAGTCAGGAGTTCAAGAGCAGCCTGGCCAACATGGCGAAACCCCGTCTCTACTAAAAATACAAAAAAATGCCGGGCTCGGTGGCTCAAGCCTGTAATCCCAGCACTTTGGGAGGCTGAGGCGGGTGGATCATGAGGTCAAGAGATCGAGACCATACCGGTCAACATGGTGAAACCCCGTCTCTACTAAAAATACAAAAAAATTAGCTGGGCATGGTGGCGTGTGCCTGTAATCCCAGCTACTCGGGAGGCTGAGGCAGGAGAATTGCCTGAACCCAGGAGGCGGAGGTTGCGGTGAGCCGAGATCGCGCCATTGCACTCCAGCCTGGGTAACAAGAGCAAAACTCCGTCTCAAAATAAATAAATAAATAAATAAATAAATAAAAATAAAAATACAAAAAAATTACCTGGGTGTGGTGGCACACATCTGTAAACCCAGCTACTTGGGAGGCTGAGGCAGAAGAATCACTTGAACCGTGGAGGCAGAGGTTGCAGTGAGCTGAGATTGCGCCACTGCACTCCAGCCTGGGTGACAGGGTGAGACTCCCTCTCAAAAATAATAATAATAAAATAAAATGCTGGCCAGGCACGGTGGCTCATGCTTGGGCAACAGAGTGAGACACTATGCTCAGAAAAAAAAAAAAAAAAAAAAAAGAAAGAAATCCTCTTACATATAAAAATAAAAGCAAGGCCTGGGGTATTCAAGTAGCCCAAGGGTGGTCAGTCTTTCATGTTTTCTTTCTTTCTTTCTTTCTTTTTTTTTTTGAGACAGAGTTTTGCTCTTGTTGCCCAGGCTGGAATGCAATGGCGTGATCTCAGTGCACTGCAATGTTCATCTCCTGGGTTCAGGCAGTTCTCCTGTCTCAGCCTCCTGAGTAGCTGGGATTACAGGCATCTGCCACCACACCTGGCTAATTTTGTATTTTTTACTAGAGACAGGGTTTCTCCATGTTGGTCAGGCTGGTCTCGAACTCCCAACCTAAGGTGATCCACCCGCCTCGGCCTCCCAAAGTGCTGGAATTACAGGCGTGAGCCGCCATGCCTGGCCTTTCACCTTTTCTTATAAGGAATGCCAGGGAAGAACTGGAGGGGCACTGGCTAACATTTCTTGAGCACCTACTAGATACCAGGCCCTTTGTATGCATGATGTCATTTAATTTACCTCAAATCCAAGGGGCCTTTTTGACGTGTTATTCAGAGAGGCCCTCCCTTGGCTGAAGTCACAGAACTAGTCAGCCTGTAATCCCAGCACGTTGGGGGGCCAAGGCAGGTAGATCACCTGAGTTCAGGAGTTCAAGACCAGCCTGACTAATGTGGTGAAACCCTGTCTCTAATAAAAAATACAAAAAAAAAAAAAAAAAAACAGCTGTTTGTAGTGGCAGGTGCCTGTAGTCCCAGCTCCTTGGGAGGCTGAGGCAGAAGAATCGCTTGAACCCGGGAGGCAGAGGTTGCAGTGAGCCGAGATTGTGCCACTGCACTCCAGCCTAGACGACAGAGCAAGACTCTGTCTCAAAAAAAAAAAAGCTTTACCCCAACCTCCTCCACTTCTCTTTGCCTTCCCAGGGATGTGAACGCCATCCCTTTGGGCCTCCTTCCCTGCCCCTGCTCCTCCTCCTAGAGGAGTTAGCCTTCATGCACTTATTTATTTGTTCATCACAGATTTACTGGGTACCTTGAACGCCCTCTGGGTGGGGCCAAGGCCAGGTGCTGGGGGGTGCCCTTTAGATGGCCCGCTGAGCCTTCTGGTCACCCAGGGCGATTCCATCAGCTCTGGCCTGGCACCCTCTTGTTTGTGTCACTCAGCTGTGAAGAACTGTTGGCTGCGCTTGTCTTTGATCTGCTCCCAGTGGGGCTCCTGCAGGCTTGGCCTCTCCTCCCTCCAGCTCTGCCTGTGAGGTGCCGGAACACTTCTGGCAAGTGCGCCCTGCTCTGCCGGGTACCTCGCAGGCTCCGCAGGAGGCTTCTGGCCCTGGCTTCCAGCACCCCCACGCTTTGCTCACACTTTGCTTCCATCCCTCAAGCAGGCATGGTTTCCCAGTGATGCCCCAGACTCTTTAAGGACCTGAATTCAAACCAGTTTGCTTAGGGGACATTCAGTTTGTAGTTGTGAAAATGAGTTTAAAGTTCACCTGAAGAAAATGAACAAAAGTAGACTATCCAGAAAGTTTTCTTGGGAAAATGAAAAACCAAGGAAGATAGATCCCCTACCAATTATTAAATGAATAATTAAGTTATAAAGCTTTTTTGCTTTAACTGGTGTACTGTTGATGAAATAAACAAAAGCATTTCAATGGAAGAGAATACACCCAAGAAATAGATCTAGATATCTCCATGGAAGAAACTGTATCGGGACTGGGAAAAAACTCAGATGGCTCAGTAATACAAACTTAAAAACAAAACAAGTGGCCGGGCGCGGTGGCTCAAGCCTGTAATCCCAGCACTTTGGGAGGCCGAGGCGGGTGGATCACAAGGTCGAGAGATCGAGACCAACCTGGTCAACATGGTGAAACCCCGTCTCTACTAAAAATACAAAAAATTAGCTGGGCATGGTGGCGCGTGCCTATAATCCCAGCTACTCAGGAGGCTGAGGCAGGAGAATTGCCTGAACCCAGGAGGCGGAGGTTGCGGTGAGCCGAGATCACGCCATTGCACTCCAGCCTGGGTAACAAGAGCGAAACTCTGTCTCAAAAAAAAAAAAAAACAAACCACAAGTGCTAGGAAAGAACACCGGTGATTTTATTTATCCCAATCTAAGCTTTGTGTGTGTGGTGTGTGTGTG